AGCTTATTTTAGCTTATAAATCTAGAAAGTAAGCCCTTAAATATTATATAGGCTATTTTACTAAGTAATTTAATTTACCTTATACTTATTATATTTTAAGGAAGAAAACCGTAAAGAAGCCATTAAAAAAGCACGAAATTAAGCGCTATTAGTAGCTATAAAAGCCTTTAATATATCCCTAATATAATTCTTTACTTATTATAATAGAAATTATAGCTAACTTTAACTTTAAGAATTTATAATACTAATATCTTTACATTTATAATCCTACCTTTATTTTAACTTATTAATAGTAAGCTATAATAAACGGTAAAGATACTTAATACTAATCTTTAAGCTAAAATAGCAATTAATAGCTAATTAAAAGACCTTAATTAAGCTAATAAGGCTAAAGGCCGCTTATCTTAAGCATTTAAAGAGACTATATATAGGCGGAAATTAATATTATTACCGGAAATTAATGCTACGCGAGGTAAGTAGCCTAATTATTATAGCGATTAAATAATAATAAAAATAATAGGTAAGAAGAATTAATTAAAGGATAAATCTCTCTTAAGATTAAGGAAATTATTTCTTAAACGCAGCTATTATTACAGTTAACCTTACAGCTTTAATAAATAACCCCTTAAAAGCCTAGGTAGCGCCTAAAGAGGGCTTAAAAAAATTAACGGCTTATAAATATATATACATTTATTAAAAACACCGGAAATCACGTTTTTAAGCGATTTAAAGCTTACCTAACGTGGTATTATTAAGAAATTCATGTATTTAATTAACTACTTTAGCATTTAATTAAGAGCTATTATAACCATGCATTTATACTAAAAATGTATTATGGGGTATGGCAGCGGGCCGGCTAGCTAAATTTAGTTAGTGGTGGGGCAAAACGCACCCCGAGCAAAATGAAAACGCACCCCGAGCAATTCACTGGCATAGCACTGGATCGCATTTCCTGGACTGCGTCATGTCGCAATTGTATCTACAATGCGGCGTACCTGCCGGAATCATTACTGCATAACGCCCTACGCTCAACTGCAATCAGCACCAGATTCGGGTCCGCATCCGTATCCTATCAGTAATTTGCATCGATGTTTGCGCGGCATTTCACTGCCTCGAAACAAAGCGATGATGCCGACGCCGATGAACGGAGGAAATAATCATTCTGGCTTATCAGCACAAGTCTGATGTCCTGTCACAACGCTCGGTGGGGCAACCCCCAATGGCGTGATCTCAGGGGTGGCTACTTGTACCGTGTCGGTGCCCCTTTAGAGTACGTAAAAGGACCAGACATCAATTGGCCAGATTTTCCAGCGATGCCAAGTTAACCTCAAAATGTTTTGAAGACACTTCCAATTCACGGAGCATCAAACGCCTCGAGTTCCAATATTTTAATGCGTTATAATCTGTGAAAATTCTTGCACGGTATCAAAGTCCAACAGGTAACTAGCCCTCTCAATATCTGCATGTGCAGTTACTGCACAATTTGATGGCTCAGGCTCTCTACCTACATACTAGGCAGGAGGCTAGACATAGCTGGCGGAAAGGCATGGTGCGTCACATCAAACTGCATGCTATCATCGAGGACATATTACAGCACAGCAACAGAAATTTGATGCTTCATGTCGTTGTCAGTGACGGCCACTATCTCACAAAGGTTTCGTCACGATGCCGATCCCAGTCCTGCCTAATCCTGGCTTTCGACCAGGAGTTCATCCACGTTCTCATACTCGCCACCAGATCCTCGGCTCTTGTTTTTCCTCTTGCCAGCCGCGTCTTTGGTGCTCTTGCCATCCGTCTTGTCCATATGGCTGCCTCGATTGCTAAGAAAGTCATCCGTCCTAATACCGCGGAATTGACTAGAATCAACCGAAGCCATTCGCCGCCCCTCACCTCTGTATTGTCGCATGTACTCCCTAACAGGTGCCATGGCGGCATCACGGCAAGCTTCTTTGATGTCACTACCTGACATTCCTGCAGTGATCTTCGATACGTAGTCCAAATCAAAATGCTCAGCGTCTGTCTTTGTATCCTGTAGAATGAGCTGCAATATTTTGCGTCGCTGTTCAAGGCCAGGGAGAGGCACAGGAAATTTTTTGGGCATACGGCGCAAGATTGCCTCATCAATGTCATGTATGCGGTTTGTAGCCCCTAAAACGACGATTTGAGCTGGCATTCCCGATGCATTGGCCGATGTTAGGCCATCCCATAGTGTCATAAACCTGGCCTCCATATTAAAATCCGGACCACTTATGGAAGACTGCGAAGAAGGAAACCTTACTCAGCTTTGACCATACCGCTGGCCTCGTGCTCCCCGCTCCTCCTTGTTCCTAGAACCGCGTCTATTTCGTCGATGAATATGATAGCTGGCTGCATCTTACGTGCCAAGGAAAAGACAGCACGAACTATTTTGTTAGAATCACCGTACCACTTCTCTGTCATGGTGGAGATGTGAAGGTTGATGAACGAAGCTCCGCTTTCAAGGGCTAACGCCTTTGCCAGCATGGTCTTTCCACAACCTGGGGGTCCAAACAGAAGCACTCCGGACGGTGCTGACAGTAAAGGCGCAGCATGGGAATACAGATGCGGCATCGTAAGCGGGTATATCACGGATTCTTTCAGCTCGTCAATGATCGAATCAAGCCCACCAATATCTGTGAACGAGAAATCGTCGGTCAGTTCGCTTCAGAAATACTACATGACCATTTATTCGCACAGTCAAAGCAGGGCATGCGCTCACCATTAAATCCAACGTGTATGTCCTCTGGGGCGACCATTTCCAGCGCGACCAAGTTCTCGTACTCGTTCAAAACCAGATCCTCAACTCTTTGAATCATCCTGGCATCTCCGCTCTCATCGTCTCCATCTCGGTCTATATTCCGCTGACGATTCAATCGCTCGAGGTGTGCCTTGGCCTGCCGTCTGGCTTGTTCGTGTTTTTCTTTGTCGGGGTCAGCCAGATTGCTCAGCATCGGTGTGAGAAGATTTCTGGCGACATAGAGTCCAGCTGTCATCTATGAAATAAGCTCTATGGTCAATAAACATATAATTTTCTCAGGGGGAAGTTGGGACGCGGGCCGATTCAGTTAGGTATGACATACCATGCCGGCAAATAATAAAAGGTCAAGGGCGACATCGCCGAGTTTCCGTCGTTCACCCATACCGAGAATCGAACGCAGCCACCGGACTGGTTTCCCGGGCATCAGGGTATGGCTTAGTTAATAGAGAGAGCGCAAAGCCGGGACGTTCTTACGTATTATGCGGGCTTGCCCTGTTTGGACCTCTCACAACTGATAAGAAGTTGTCGCAGACGGTTGATCAAAACGTACACACAGAGAAACAAAGGATTTTCCCAGTCGTCTTACATGCTTTTAAAAGTTATTGTACAATATGTTCAAACGACTAGATTGGGATTTCGTCATGAGTGTGGTAAGTCGAATCTCCTTACTCCGTACGCGAGTATATAGTATCGTCTTCGCATTCATGCGCTACGTATCCACTTGTGCTAGGACCTATTCCCTTTTTGGCACAGTGTTTGCCACTTGCCTCTGCTACGGAGCACCCTCGGCGTCAGATGAGACATATACGTGCTTACGTAACTTGGACGAAGGCAGGCCATCTTATGAATGACGAGTTGTTTACATTCTACCCAAAATGGAAATACCACCGGCCTGTTTACCTGTTTAGCAGAACCCGCAACATAATACTCTTCCACACCATAATAATACTGTTGAAGATTTCCTGATTCTCGACTGGATGAAGCGACAGAGGATAATTTATGCCTCAAGCCGCATTACAAGAAGCCATCTATTTTCGAATATACGACTACTCGTCACTCTCAATTTTACTGCTCCACATGACGGATGGCTCCTCGTTCGCATGTGGTGGGCAACCTTGCTTCCATGGTCCTCTCCGATTCTGAACCAGATTTCGACGATGTCGAAGCGATTGGTATGCCGCCTTCCCAGGAGCTTGCTGGGAAGGCTCTAGCATCTAAGCGAAGTCGTGACCGAACAACGAACTCTACAACACGAGTAACGAAGCCGTCCCAAAGATCAACGCGGAGTGTCAAGAGCGGCACGAGTCATTTAGTACTACCGGCGGTGGCGAGGCAAATATTAATGGAGAAGAGCAAAAGCAATACTATTCTACAAGCTGGAGCCGACGGAAAAGATATGGACGAACCAGACAAGGTCGCCTTGGGAAAAGCATATCCAAATCTTTCTTCATCTCATGAACAGGGGCGACTAGCCGGCTTGTCGCGGAACACAGGATCTTCGGGCACATTATACACTCAGAATATTGACAGGGAGCATGAATCAACGTTTGTGAGTGGTGATGAGGAGCCGAAATGTGTGGAGAAGCTAGGACAGCAAGAGACAAAGCCTGCAATCGACGCAGAGGAGCAATGCCCAGCGGATTATACCAATAATATGGACGAGGTTGCAACTCGGAGGCGATTAGGAGAATTGACAAAGAAGTACGACTCGCTAAAGGCACGACACAACGATCTGCGCGAAGTGGGAATGATTGCCGCAGAACGCAATTTTGAAAGGCTGAAAAAGCAGTCAGAGGAAAATACGGCAGGTAAGGCTTTGGCCCTGCAGTCAATGGGAGAATATCCATTGTTATATTGGGATCTTTAATTCGGAATACCTGACATGTTGGCAGCGTCAAACAAACTTATTCAATCGCTCAAGGAGGAATTGAATGCGCAATCGGCACTGGTGAAGCAAGGCGAGCAGGTACGCCAGCATTTAGAGCGTAGCGAAACTAACGTTTGTGACTTGGAAAGCAAAATATGTGGCCTGGAAGCATCATTATCGAATGCTCGGTCTGAGATAAAATCACTCTCTGCTAAACTCTCGGCGAGCAGAGCTGCGGAAGCTAGTGCAAAAATCCCGGGAGGCGCATTAAAGCCTGGGGCCATGGGCCACAAATCAGCCCCATCGGAAGTTGTTCTAGCGGCACAAGCAAAGGAAGACCTCTATGGCGACTTAACAGGTCTTATTGTCCGAGGGATGAAACGCGGTGATGGTGGAAGCGTTTTTGACTGCATTCAAACTGGGAGAAACGGGAGTAAGCTTCCCAAGAGACACCCAACACTAACAAAGCACAATGCTAACTTGTTGAAGCTCTGCACTTCAAGCTTTCCCTGGATGCTGGAGATGCTTCCGATAGTTACGACGACGTCCAATTTACGTACCGCCCTCAGCTTGATACAGACCGCGATGGTGATTTGATTCGGATGCTACCGGACTACTTGGTCGAAGAAATCACCTTCCCACGGACTCAAGCATCCAAATTTTACAGCAGAGTGATTAAGTCACTTACTGAGCGACTGAATTAAGATTGAATGGCTAGGATGGACGGACTATACTACCTACTAACCCTCGGACTCATCAGTAAAGATGTCCGTATGTTCAATTGAGGGCATTTATTTAGTCGCAAGCCATGGGGCGAGAAAAGACAGTCAATACGCTCGAGTGCTTGATCCATTCGCAAGTTGCCTAGTTTCTTGAATTCTCGCACGATGGGCTAAGACCTGAAAGTTTTTCTCCGAGAAGTCATGATTCAGCTTCAGCAAAAAGAAAAAAAACCGATAAGCATGATAGGATGCCAGTAGTAGGGGTGAACCCGAGGCCTGATTATTTAGATGGGTGGCAACAACCAACTTTAGAGCATTGTGTTTACAACCCAAGGACAGTTGAGCAAACGGCTGTAACCAAGTTGCAAGCTTCCACTTCCACTTGGAGACCTACACTTGTGGATCGTGTTTCTGCTCAAGAAGTCGAGAGAAGGACCTACAATGTCTCATGGAACCAGTCTTATTGTTTCATTAGACATATGCTGTCTGGGGAGCAGGTGAGCGACCCTAATGGTAGGGAGTCTATTCGCGCAGTAGGACATCAGGGTATCTAAGTGCAGTCCATGGCAGGATGCATCTGCTTTTCGATACGTGTATGTCCATTAACATACTATAGTATAAACACAGTACACATATGATAATTATATAACCTTAAGGTTATAGCAAGGTAAAGATAACCTAAAATAAAAGCGAGAGGGTTTTTCTTCCTATAAAAAGGGTTTTCCCACTTAAGCTGCATGTAAAAGTACTAGAATAGCTTATAATGGCTCTAGGGTACCTAAAATAAATAAATAAATCTTATATATTATAATATAATATAGTGAAATATACAAAAATACAATACTTTTAAAGCTCTGTTTACGAATTTACCGGGAGCATATATACCTACCTAGGTACCTAGGTACCTAGCAGGGACTACAGTATATATCCAACATATATTTGTTTGTTTATTTGTTTATTTACTTCTCGCTTACACTCTACGAGGCGTAAGTAGGGCCAACACTTGAGTCATGCATTACATAGATTATCAAATAGCTAAAAGTCTAGACGTCCTAGAGGGGAAAGCAAAACAAGCTCAAGTCGCTAAATCAATACATCTCATGGTATCATCTATCCCCTGGTATGCTCTCCCTCGGTTCGACACTGGTCCCAGAGACCACCCTTTTTGGCAAAGTCCAACCCCTTGAGGAAGTCACCAACTTCACAGCGTCCGAGCTTGTCTGCCTTGCAGCCCTTGGGAGGGATTACTCTATCATTGACGAGAACTCGGACCATTTCGTAGTCGTCTTGGCCGCAGTGCATCTTTTCGACATACATGCGTGCTCCAAACGGCACGGCTTGTGAAGCAGAGTATCCGTCGGCTTTCTTGGAGGATACCCTGTGATCGGTGGGAATTTCAGTAGCGTTGGTATATATACCGAGTGCGGCGTAGACTGTCATCATTGTGTTGTCATGGCTGAAGTCGGCATATAGCAGCCGGTTGAGAGGGAACGTCGACGGGTTAGAGTCGAGCGTTTCATTTGTTGATGTGCGGTCTTGAACTGGAGAGTGTGAAAGTCGAGCAATGAGTTCATTAACATATCCAACTCCCTGAGTCGGTCCTAGCGGATTTGCTGGTCCATAGCCATACCACTTCTCCAACGACTCGTAGTACTCATACCCATGCCACTCCTCCTTGGAAAACAAGCGACAAAAGTCGGAAACTGTCGATTTTTCCGAGGCAACAGTGTTGAAGGGGCAAAGATCCATAAAGTAAACCGTTTCCTCAAGGGTAATCTTGGCGCCAGGAAGCTTCGCGTTAAGACGTTCCATTATGGGAGTGGCCCAGACATTTTTCCAGGGGGCTTGTTTGTCGTGTGCAAGCTCCGCGTTAGGTCCATTTTCAAACGCACCACAGGTTCCATGGTCCAAGGTATTGTTGGAGCCGTTGCCTTCTGGAATGACGAGAATATCCTCCAGGTATTTACTGCCATTCTTGGCCTTGGCTTTGTAGAAGCCATGAACAAAATTTTGTGCCGACATGACGACTCTTTCAGAGCCCGAGGCTCGAACAAAAGGATGGGTCGAATCCTCGGCTAACTTCTGATAGCGCTTGAAGAACTTCTTTCCAGACTTGACCATTTCCTGCTCGCCAAAGGGGGTGAGGTCGTCAGAACCTAGAGTATACTTGTAGTCCTTGAGAAACTCGAAGCCTTTCCCATAGTCCTTGACGTCTTTTTGAATCCGCTCAATCAGGTCCTTGTAGGCCTTGGACTTGCCGGCCGTCGGGTTGCGGGACCCATGTCGAGACAAGATTGAAGCAAAGGTGACGTCGCACCCCGACGGGATGTCTGGCTTAATAGATCCCTTATGTGCTGAGAAGTATGGCGAGTATTGGCCCCAGTGCTTGCGAAAATCGTGGGTGCAAGAGCCGTTGTTAACGCATGACTTAGAGGCTGATCGGTCTCGCCTGTAAGGAGTCTCTTGTTGAGCAAACTTGCGGAATGGGATGCTGCGTGGTGATGTGCGGGAGCAAGTTCCACTTACGCGAAGGCAAAGCCCAGAAAAACAAGGACAGCGAGCAACATGACGCTCATTGATAGTTTAAACAACCTTGAGCGAGGAGGCCGCTCATCAAAGACTTGCTGTGCGTGATTTCGTCCCGTCACAGGCGCCGGGATGGCCCTATATTTGTTGTTTGGCCTGGCGAGCGCCTTCAGCGAGGCGACGGTATCTGATATTACACCCATTATTGTGTTGTCGCACGGCACAACAAGCTCACTACTTTAATGTTCGTACGGAGGAGCTGTCGGGTTTGTTGGGCCACGTAATATGCAGGTAATGCGCACAGTAAAGCGTAGTCGAGCGCCCCCTTTTACTAGGCGCACACAGTTCTCTCTTTTATCTCTTTGGCTGCGAGATGACTCCTGGGGGGTCCCCCTCCCTCATAATATACCTACCTACCTACCTAGGTAGGTATGTACGGAGTAGCTCGCACGCGCTTTGTTTTAATTCGACTCTCAACATACAATGCTCCTTATAATGCCTGTGCAATTGAATAGCCTAGCATCCAGCTATGACTTGTTTCACGCATTCATTGTTTCAAACCTCTCCTTTTGTTCGTCCGTGCTAATGCCAATGCCCAGCACCCCTTCGCCCTTCGCCTAGCGGATTCAACCTTGCCCTCCAAACACAGTTAAGATACAAATGTGACAAGTGGGACCATGGGACTGCCAATAGAGGGCGTCTTAGACCCCACGGGACGTGGAACCACGAGGTGGTGTCGCCCGCAAACACGCCCCCAAGAAAAAGGACACGAGTACTACCTCAGGGGGTAGCCAATAATATTTAAATTGGGCTGGTTCCATTGAAGAAATGGTTTAACCAGACGGCCCAAATCTCCCTTGGTTATTTTAGCAGTGCGGACTACATACCAGACGGAGCGTCTAACAAATGCCTATTCCCCAGACTAGCCACGTCCGCACTGCGAGGCGCACTTCAAGATTTGGTCTCGTTCACTACTCAACGCGTCGAGACCATCACTGTCACAGTGTCTGGTGCATTAGGCTGCCCCTCTTTTGTAACCAGTCTATGCCCGAGAGCCTTGCAAAGTCGTCGCGATCGTTTGGCATCAGACTCAATGGGCTGCTGCTAACGGAAACCTGACACAAACAGCGACATCGCAACTTCCGTCGCCAGCATGGCGGCAGCCACTCGTTTTGCCTTCCTGGCCACGGCCGTAATATTCCATCTCGTTTATATATATTCTATCTTCGATATATATTTCGTGAGCCCCATTGTGTCTGGCATGCAGCTCTTCGGAGTTGAACGTCCCCCGTTCTCAAAGCCTCCAGCTGACAGGCTAGTTTTGTTTGTTGGCAAGTACACTCAGTTTGGGCCAAATTGTGCTCCCAATCTTACCACAAACATGCTGACAAACTGCTGTTGCAGGTGATGGACTAAGAGCAGACAAAGCCTTTCAATCATTTCCCGAGCCGTATCCTCAAAACGAAAAGGATCTCATCCCCAGGCCTCTCGCACCTTTCCTGCGATCCCGCGTCCTTCAAGAAGGCACCTTCGGCGTCTCCCATACCCGTGTGCCTACAGAGTCCCGCCCGGGGCATGTAGCTTTGATCGCCGGGTTATACGAAGATGTTTCCGCCGTCGCCACCGGCTGGAAACTCAACCCTGTCAATTTCGATAGTGTCTTTAACCGAAGTCGTCATACTTGGAGCTGGGGTAGCCCAGATATCTTGCCCATGTTCGAACAAGGAGCTGTTCCCGGCCGGGTTGATACATATATGTACGAACCAGAGTTCGAAGATTTTACTCAGGATGCTCTTCGCCTCGACTACTGGGTGTTTGACCATGTTAAGCACTTTTTTGCAGAGGCCGCAATAAACCAGACTCTTAATAAAGCCCTTCGCCAGGATAAGATTATTTTCTTCCTACATCTGCTTGGGCTTGATACAACTGGGCACTCCTATCGACCGTACTCAAAGGAATATTTAAATAATATCAAAGTGGTGGACCAAGGCGTTAAGGAGATAACAGAACTTGTCCAGAAATTTTACGCAGATGACAGAACAGCCTTTGTATTCACCGCAGATCATGGCATGAGTGACTGGGGCAGTCACGGTGATGGTCATCCAGATAATACCCGCACGCCTTTCATTACGTGGGGTTCCGGTGTGGCCGCTCCTGAGGTGCATCCTGGTACTATTGCCCCAGGACATGATGCGTACTCATTAGATTGGGGGCTCGATCACATTCGTCGACACGATATTAACCAGGCGGACATCGCCGCCTTAATGTCCTACTTGATCGGTGCCGAGTTCCCAGCTAATTCGGTCGGAGAGCTTCCCTTATCATATCTGGCCGCAGACAATAGCGAGAAGGCTTATGCATCGCTTGTCAATGCCAAAGGTATTTTGGAGATGTATCGTGTCAAGGAAAATAAAAAGAAGACGAATGAACTGCGATTCAAGGCATACCACGCGTTTGACGGAGAGGGTTCTCCTGAAAACCGCATTGCTGCGATTGTAGATCTCATTGCAAATGGGCAGTATGAAGAGGCTATTGAGGAGTCAAATACCCTCATTCAAGCAACGCTGCAGGGCCTGCGCTATCTCCAAACGTATGACTGGCTGTTTCTTCGGGCTCTTATTACCATGGGATATCTTGGCTGGATGGCATATGCCACAACCATAGTGGTAAACATGTTTGTCGTCCACGAGGAAATAGCAGCGCAAAGGACTCTTTTCAGTGCCGCCACCTTTTTAGGAATTCTGTTTGCTCTTTATGCGTCGTTCATTATTTCCAAATCACCCCTCACATACTATTTATATGCCTTTTTTCCTGTTGTATTCTGGGAAGAAGTTTATGCCCATAGACAGAGTCTTTATCACGGAAGATTGGTATTATTTGGCCACATTCAGTCCGCAGGAGGTGTGGCGACGCTGTTTCTTCATACCATTTTTTACATTGCTGTCATACAATCTCTGGTGAGTGAGCCGGTTACTCAAGATATGCAGTCGCCATGACTCATTACCCTTCTCTGCGCCCTTTGCCAACCCACACTGACCCTCATTAGGCTGTCGGATATATTTATCGAGAGGTACTGACCGGATTGTTTGTCCTGGCAGCGGCTTGGCCTGTCATGTATGGCCTGTCTTTCTTACAAAACCATGCATTGCTCATCATGACATGGGCAGCTTCATGCCTGACAATGAGCACATTCACGTTGCTTCCAGCCATGAAAGTTGAAAGCATTGGTCTAATGTAAGCAGACTCAACGCATGGTTATTATAAGGGTAAATTCATGAGACTGATGATTTCTAGCCTTGCTGGTGGCTTTGTCATGTTTCTCGTTGGCTTTCTTTACCTGATTCTCGAAGACACCGTTCTCGCCGATTTTTCGTGGGCTGCCAGCTCAGATCCTTCACTTAAGAAGTCAAACAAGAATATTCAGCGAACATTAACTGGCATCCAGGTATGACAAATGGCTACTATCACCTTCTCTGTTGCCATTGTATTCTCTGCTTATTCTTCGAAATGAGTAACTGACGCAGTATCATATCAACAGCTGGGACTTATTCTCTTGTCCATGCTTGTAACGCGGTCTAGCGCCTTGTCCCTTCAGGCTAAGCGAGGTCTCCCAGTCGGCAATCAAGTTCTTGGATGGGCTATCCTCAGTATGTAATTTGTGGCACGCAGTTGACTTTCCATGCGGTTCATGTCCTGGCCTCTAACTTTCTCAGTCGTGTCTCTCCTAATGCCCCTCTTTTATCGCCTTCAGCCTAATACACATTACCTGCATAGACTTGTAGTCATTTTTTTGACATGCGCACCTACATTTGTCATTCTTACAATCTCATATGAAGGCCTTTTTTACGTCGCTTTCTCAGTGACCCTACTTGTTTGGGTGCGCCTGGAGTACGCAGCCGAAATTTTCTGCCGCAAGCATCAGCAAAACAACGGGAGCTTGGTGCAACCTAATACATTTAACCAAGACTTGATACAACATCGAGAACTCAGGCTCTCGGATGCACGGGTGGCGCTTTTCTTCCTGGTACTACTGCAATCGGCCTTTTTCAGTACAGGCAACGTTGCGTCCGTTTCTTCATTTAGTCTTGACAGCGTTTACCGCCTGATACCAGTATTTGATCCTTTTTCTCAGGGAGCGTTGCTAATTTTAAAGTTGATGATCCCCTTTGCTCTTATTTCTGCCAATTTGGGAGTATTAAATAAAAGGTTAGGAGTCGCCCCATCAGCTCTCTTCATGGTGGTCATGGCAATTAGCGATATTCTGACGCTCTATTTCTTTTGGGTTGTCAAAGACGAGGGGTCATGGTTGGAGATAGGCTCCACAATCAGCCACTTCGCCATTGCAAGTCTGCTTTGTGTGTTTGTTGCTGGCCTTGAGGGCGTCAGCACCTTGTTTATATCAGGCATTAACGTGGGGGATGGGCAAAGCGAACTTGATCCTACGACTAGCCAGTCAGGGTCTACAATGAAAAACAAAGGAGCCCCAAATGGCAACAGTTATTCAAATGAAGCCAAAAGACAATAGAGAAAATATAAATGGATTGCAATGACGGGTTTCAGATTTCCTTGATGAGAATCAGGTTCGTACCCCACACCGAGGGGCGAGATGATGGCTCTTGTACACGAGGGGCCCATGCTTCGTCAAATTTATGCAGCTACATATGCACGGGCGTCAGGCAATCTATAATCAAAATTAGAGCTTTATGTTGTAATGCTGTGCTATCCAGCTGGGCGACAGCTGTCAATCGTGATGTCTGGAGGATGCGAAGGACCATATATGTTACTATTTCGGCACGAATGGGATGTGCTGTGGTAGCAGCGAAATATCTGACCAGATAACTGTATGATGGACAGAGAGAGTATTTGTGCCACTTGTTTAGATTTATAATAATCTACCTACTTTAGGTACCTGGTAGACTTTGATGGACTTCCCAAGATGCACAGAGAAAGAGAGTATTTGAGCCAGACACCTTGCCGAGTACTTGACTAGTTGATAAGACGCCTAACGAAGTTTGTACTGGCAGCTGAAAGACCGGGATAGTCTCCATGTCACTCGGGACTTTTCAGTCCACAACAACAAAAGCTCAGGCATCTGAAATCTTAGATGTCAGAAGCACTGGCAGCACATGTGAAACTCACCACCTGCTTGCCCTCCTTCATCAAGGCCCAGACACCACGAACAGGGGGGTACTCAGGTCAAGTGCTTGGGTACATGTAGGCATGTGCCTGATGATCTGACTTGTTACTTTTGAGTAGGTGCCGGAGTGAACCCTTGAGAGTATAATATTGACAAGACGGCGCGTTCTCTGCAAAGAAACTTGGTGTGGTGGCTCCATATCGTCATCAGTACGAAGTACGTCCGGCACAACCCCCGCGACCTTGGCACCAAAAACTCACCTGTGACCCCGGTTCCCCAGACTTGACTCTTTGCTTCGATGTCGTTGTCTGCTTGGATGTTCCGGGCAAGTACGGGGGTGGCTGCCAGGTTCCCCAACAATTGGACACCTCGGAGGCGGGCCTCAGCCACTAGCCTCCGATCTATTCCATCTCCATGTGAATTGCCCGGCAGGCTCACTCTTTTTGCTAGGTGCGCTCACGCTCTACGAGGTACCTAGCTATAAGGCTTTATATTATAATATGTTATTATATGTTATTATATGTTAAAGTAAACTTTATAGCAAGTAAATATAATATATTCAGCTTAAATATAGCTAAAATATAGTTTTATTAAATACCCTTTATTTACCTTTTTTCATATAATTTAATTTAATAATAAGTAAATTTATTTCATTATAAAATTTTTACTTACCTAATTCAGTATTTTAAAAGAGTTTAAATACAGTAAATAGCGGGGGGATAAGCGCACCTAGCAAAGAGTGAGTCCGCCGAGCAATTCACATCTCCAGGCTCATAGTTTGAGCTTGCGTCTAGCGAGCTTGCGCAGGCAGGCCAAGGGATTAACTCACCTCCAGACCCGAGCACTTCAATTTAACGGCTCTATATATTAGAGTTGCAGCCGGCCACGATTGAAAGTCTCGTTTTGAAAGTCTCAAGTGCAACGTTCAACGGGGCCCCGGCCCCGGCCCCATTGTTACTGTTACGGGGGACTTAGTGCATCCCCTAGACTGCGATAAGGCTCCAGCTAAAGCATTAAGAAGAAAACTACATTTTCAAATTTTAAAAAAGCTTAAATATTTAATAGTAAATCTAATAAAATACTTAAACTATAATAATAAATGTAAGGTGGTTAGGGAACCCCGCCTACCTGTAACGCGATTAATAACGTTACGTGAAATAGAAGCTTTAAGACTATATCTCTTATATCTTATATAATTAAAAAATAAAATAAGCTTAAGTTATTATAATATAATTACTCTTACCTTAATTACTTAACTTTTAATCTCTTTTATAATCTTATAATTTTTAAAGCTTTTTAAAAAGTTATTTAATTAAAATAGTAAAGATAAGTACTTAAAGAACCCTTATTTTATAAGTGCCTTTACCTTTAATAATAGAGAATCTAATAGAATTATTAAGTAATTAAAAGAATATAATAGCTTTAAGTAAAGGGAAAACACTTAAATAATTAAATAAAGCTATTATAACTCTTTAAAATTAAATCGCTAAATTAAAGAAGCTATAAGAGCTTTAAGAAAAGAAAAAGAAGCTATAAAGATTAATTCTTAAAACCGCT